AACAGGTGTTGGGCGGGAAGCAGAGAAATAGGCAGTCAGGCTGCTGCTCACCTTCCCCACCGCAGCTTGTCCTCCTGCCACTGCTTCCCCAGCTGTAGCTGTGAGGGGAAAGGGGATGTATTCAATATGACCCTACAATAACTGGGTTCTATACATGGAAAATTATAACAAACTTACACATTTTCCATGCCTTGAATTGTTGGAGGCTCATCTTAAATTCATAGTTGTTTTGGATTCAGATAAATATGGTAGATCAGTGGAGGCCAAACTTTTTGGCAGCTATGCCACAAATTAGCTTTGCACCCTCCCCAAGTGGCACTGCTCTGCTTCCTGATTCCTTCCCTGTGCTCCCTGCTTGGTTTGCTGCTGTTTTCTACTTTCTACTTCCTACCATATATGCTGTTGTGCTACCTGACTCCCTCCAATCTGCCACATGTCACACACAGAAGCCGTCTATGTTGCTTGTGGCACCTGTGCTGCAAGTTGGCCACCCTGGAACTAGATGATCTCTCAGAGTCCTTTTCAATCATCCATTTCTATAAAGGGGTGACTGTTCAGCATGCTTATAATATTTCTCATTTTTAAAAAAGAAGCAACTGGAAGAATCTGACAACTTCTGTCTTTTCCACTGGGGGAGAACATGAGATATTTGTTACCAACTTGCCAAGGGTATCAGTTTTATATTTGCTTTTTTCCTGAGGTCACCCTGTTGCCTAAGTGACAGAGTTAACTAGGAACATGGTTGAAAAGGCTCGTCCAGGGCAAAACAGAGACGATACTTCAGACAAACACACACCCTAAAACTGCTTTCATTTAAAGGCTCCTATTCCCCAACTGATAAAGATCTGGACTCATCTCTGTGGCTGAACCTTTGCATAGCTGCATAGCAGCAGTGTTCAAAACCCCCTTTCCTCATTTATGCCTGGAAATAGTGCCAGAGCAATGATGTTTGGCATCCAGGGCAAAGCCTGCAGCCCATCCTTGCCCTGCACAAAGATCTGGGGTGCACATGCCCCCCATGCTTGCCTGGGAGTGCACACAGCGGCGGGAGCTACCCTTCCCCCATCCCTGCAAAGCTGCTTGCAGCTCTGTCCCGCACCCTGCCACGGGCAGTGCCTATTGGTGCCCCTTCGCTTCGGTGCCTGGGGTGGTTGCCCTGCTTGCTCCCCCACCTCCTTGCTATGGTACTGGCTGGAAAGGAGTTTTCAGAAGCTTTTCCTGCCAGAGAAAACCCATTTTTTCACTTTCGGGTTAGATTTTTGTTATAAAATACATCTAATGCCTAGTATGAAAGTGTTATTGCTTTCGGCAGCCTACCTGGTGGTGAACTGAACTCTGCTTTGGCTGCCTGCCCACTTCTGGGTCCAATTCTAGGGGCAGTGGTCCCGATCTACTAATCTCAACATGGTCCAGGCGGGTGGTATTTCAATGTCTACCTCTCAGTGGAGCTTCAGTTACCAGCTCAGAAACCATGGTACAGCTTATACGGGTTGGGACAGAACAGTCTATTCAAAGGACATGAAATCTGCCTCTGCTACATATGGAAGGATGTGCTGCAAAACTCACCCCTTCAAGGATTCAGTTTCCTAATTGATGTGGCAGGAAGGAAACAGATTCTGATTCTTCAAGCAGGCAGTCTTGAAAACAGAGGAGTGGATGGGGAGTGCCTGTCTGGGGGATGCCTTTTATGTAAAACTATCACATAATGGAAATGGGCCCTTTTGAAATAAATGCAAATAAAGAAATATAACTTGGCAGATCTCCATGAACATTTAGGCATCTCCCTAAAGATTCTGGGCCCAATGTATCTGCGAGGGAGTGCTGTGGTATAATGTGCACACCTGCACCTGAAAACATTAGCTCTGCATTCTTCAGTGGGGGCACCAGCTTTCTAGACAAGACTCCAGATGTGTTAAAAATGTGCCAAATAAGCAAGTCTTCTGGATGACAATACTCTAGTTCCAGCTTCCTCTTGATCAGTCACTTTTTAAGTTGCACCTGCTAGCTTTCTGGGAGCATTATGGCTGCTGACAGTTGTGAAAAAAAACAAAACAGGACACTTTACCAGAAGCAGCAGCGGGTTAGTTCAACCAGGTTCTGCAGTGTCTGCATAGACCATGTGCTTCAGCAAGGCTTTTTGGTGCTTTTATCTAAAGCTGATTTAATTGGTTATTAGATAAAAGCACCGAAAAAGCCGCACTGAAGTACCCGATCTATACAGATGTTGGATGAGGCAGGATGAGGCAATGCACTGGGCTCAGCACAGGGGTGCACTGAGTTTAAAGTAAAGCACCGTTTTGGGTGAGGGGGGAAGGTTGTGTCTATAAGCAGCTTCTGTGACCAGAGATCCTGAGAGCTTCTGATGAACACAGTGGGCGCGTCTATGAGATGCTAACTACCTAATAACACTGCGAAGTAGTGTGCCAGGTAACAACTGGGCTAATATGCTACTGTGCAGTAGTATTAAGCTACTGCGCAGTAAGCATCACTAAAAACCCATGTGCCAGTGCTACTGTACAGTAGTGTGCGTTAGTGTGCATTGATTTAGTACTTGGTTAACCAAGTACTAAACCTAGTGTGCAGTAACTATGGTGCATTAATGAACATGTAGATGCATCCAATGTGAATGAGTCAACCCCATTATCAATTCTTGACCCATTTACAACACGCAACAAATAGGGGTTGTGTGTGTGCAAACAGCAGCAAAATTAGGCCCAAAGAATCTCACTTCAGTAAGAGAAAATTTTGAGAAACGATCTTACCGATATTTCCTCCAATTTCATACAGGAAAACCTCCTCCTTCTGGAGAGATGAGACAACTCCACTGTTAGGAACAAAACAAAATGATTACCTGTGCTGCCAAAACAGCATGCAATCAGATCACTTAAATGAGATACTATGCTAGTTAACAAAACTGACAATATACCAAAATTGCCCTATTTACATCCCCTCTACACGTGCAGGAAAAGGCACAATGGGATCTAATGCATGATCCACACAATTACGCTAGCAGGACATGTGACTGTGAGATTGTGTATTAGATCCCACTGTACCTTTTTGTCAGTACAGGACAGCCTAATCCCAGGCTTGACCTGCACCAGCAAGAAACAAGCTCCTGCAGCTGGGAAGCCCCTCAGCTGAGGGGCTCCCAGCTCCAGGAGTGCAGCACACACCCTGTGGCTCCTTCCAGCACCAAGGGTTTCCTGTACCCCTTGGGGTTGGGAGACCATGACAGCTGCCGTCTCCCAGGCCTGGGGGTTTCCTCCACCCCAGGGGCTGGGAGATTGTAGCCATACTCCATGACTGCCAGGACCCAGGTGTCCCCTAGCACCAGGAAACAAGCTCCAGGGACCCAGCCTCTGCAGCTGCAGGGTGCTGTCGGGACCCAGATCAGTATATGCTGGGGCTGAGAATCCCCTCAGCTGTGAGACTCGCAGTCCTGGCTGAGCAGAGTCCACCCCTCTGGCTGGGAACCCACAGCTGACAGGCCTCCAGCCAAAGGGAGACCCTGTTAACAAGTGCAAATTAAAGCTTGATAGCAACCAGTTATAAAATTAGTACACATTTTCAAGATCTAACTTTACAGCTGGTTGCAGCTTCTTATGGTGTGATAGGTACTTTGCACATGTAGCTGGTCTCAAGGTAACTGAACAATTAACCAGCTAATTGTGTGATACCTATAACATGTAGAGGGGGCTTTAGTAACACACAGAAGTGAACAATAATACTGTATCTGTATAATAAAGCAAATGAATAATCATGCACAATGAAGTATATGGAAGAAATGTGAACTGAATTAAAAGAAACTGAGATCGTTAGAAAAGAATAAAAATAATCCCTTTAGTGGATGTTCATATTTGCCTGATTTAATGGTATCAGGCTCCATACTGACATTTTTTTTTAACCGTTGTTGCAAAACAAGGTACTTCTACTGTATACTTCCTATTACTGCTGTAGCTTTACAAGTGTGTTCAGGAAGCCACAATTTTAATCTTTTTTTTTTTCTTTCCAACTAAAAGATGTGCAAACCATTTTTTCTGCAGAACTAGAGGTGAGAAAAAAATCTTCCCATGATTGTGACTAGATTGCTGCAGTTCAACAGGAACTTATTGCCTTGAAAACCTGTTTTTTTTATGAAGGAGTTCATCATCTTATCCAGTAAAATCATGCTGCTGTACTATCACAAATAATTACATAACTGATATAGAAACTGCAATAGATCATTTTTCTCTCTCTCGCCTTGTCTAACACTCCCTCTTCCAATTCATGCATGTGCACACACACATACACACACTTAAAGGAACTGATCCAAAGGCCAACTAAAGTAATGGAGTTTTTTCCTTTGATTTCAATGAGACTGGTATCAGCCCCAAATACAGCTATTTCTTTAGATGTATGCATGTGCGTTTCTCTCATATTAACATATTTGCATATCTGTATATTTTTATAGTTATATTAATATATTTTCCTAAAATGTTATCTTTTTTTCCCTGTTTCTTAAGTTCTTAGGCTTTTTGTCTTAGAGCTCACTACTAAATTCCCCATGGGAAGATATAAAAACTTTCTGGGTCCGTGAATGCAGTTCTTAACCCAGCTGACTAAACAGCAATTAATTCTTTAACCACACACTGCATTTGGCATACTCCTGAAGGTTTTAAGATGCCAGGGTTCAGGATAAGGAGCATAAGAAGCAATTCTTGGGACAAACTAAACATAAAAAAGTAGTTAATTCATCAAACATTTATTTCAATAGGCTAAATTTAGCTCAAGAGGTCAGAGAACTCACCTTAACAGTCAAACTAGTTTAAAAAAATTCTTCTTGTTATGCAATACAAAAAGCCACTTATCTGGAAATGCTAGACAAACAAAAAAGGGTCTCTACCTTTTCTGGCTGAGAAACCTGGCTACTATATCACTGGCTTTTAGTTCTTCCGTCAGCTGTATTGCCATGGAAACTTTTGAAAGATGAGGCGCTTGCACCCGTATCACTCCCTGAGGAACATCAGCCTGAAAAGCAATAACAATATTGGAACAAAACTGCTAGCAGCTGGCTTCGATGAGTTTCTCAAGATGCTGTATGGAATAAGTAACTTCACAGAATGTTCTGTAAGTATGCTTAACTACTGTCTACTTTACTTCACTGCAGAAAAATGTTAATTGTACAGTAATTTACTAAATTGCATCAGACCCTCAAATCTCTTTCTAATGGCTATAGAGAACTTTGTCACAGAAGAACAGTAATGTTTAATTATTTTCCAAAGACGTTAAGAAGAACAATAATGATTATTACTATAATAAGGCTCAATTTCAGCATGTTATGAAGCATGTGTGTTTGATGTAGTAATATATGACTCCGATTCAGAAAGAAGCTGCTGTACACCAGAAAGCCAGGCAAAAATGTCTACTTTCCTTTAACCTGAATTTCATTCAAAAACAAAACGAACCCCCCCTGCCACCCGCAAAAACAAAAAAAATTCAAAGTATTCATGGGTCAGTTCAGCTTGCTCAACTATTTTTCTTTCCCTTTGCCTCCTACTTGTCTGTGCAATTTTTACCCTCTGTTTCCTGTTTTCTAGAATATATTCAGAATATATCCCAAAATGCCACAGTGCTAAATATCAATCTTATATTAGTTACCAGGAGGAAATATCTAATAGACTGTATTTTCTGTTCAACTTACATTTGAAATTTACAAAAGACATGGTTTACTTATGAATATGGTCCTGATTTATTTTCCTAGGATACATAATTTTTCTATCTATGTTACACTATCTTATGCCTGGTCTCAGATGTGCTCATTTTCATAGCAAGTACAGTGTCAAAATACCAGAAGAAATAAAAGTTGCTTCTGAAGTAACTCATTACTTCATGGTTCATCCCCCCCCATTTACTTTGCTTATGAAGCAGAAATATTTTTTATTTCATTATTAGTGAGCAATATCAGAGGCATTTAAGTTTACAGTTTTCATCCTAGAAAAGTTCCCTTTCACAGATATGAATCTAAAACAAGACGGAATTAAATTGTGTATAAAAGGAATCAGACTCAGATACATAGTTTGGTGAGTATAAGTTCTATTAAGTGGTTAATTGCATCAAGGAACTGAGCTCTGAAAAATAAATCTGGGCTTAAACCAGGGGATTGAGAGTTGCCATAGTTTACAGCATACCCCAGCTACCTTCAGTTTCTTTAAACACATTACAAATTCTCAGAATATAACTGCAGGACTTGACACCTATTCATGTCATGAAAGACTTTATAATTGACTAATTAAGAATCTACAAAAGACTGCTATTGGCAATCATAACCAGAATCATCTATTAATATTTATACAAAAAGTTACCTAGATCCTGCTTAAAACATCATTTGCCTGCCTTTCAAAACTATTATGACCATATTTCCTGTTAGCAAGGGAGTAATCTTGTAAGGGTGAAAAGACTATTTATGCATGTCCCTAATTGGTCTTCTGTCATGCTCTGCATGGAAAATGTAAATCAGGCTTCATTTTAGTATTCAGTTTTACACCATTTCACTGGACTTACTCCAGTATTCTGTTAGATAAAAATTATTACTATTTTTCTGCTCATCAGCCATGTGATTGATGCACATGAAAATGGCTTGGCTAATTATACAAGCAGAGGAGCAAACACCTTTGGAATTCCCATAATGTGAAATCAAGGTTGCAGGTCAAATGGAGAATGTATTTTGTAACTAGAGACATGCAGCCTATCAAATGGCTATATATTGCCTTTAACTCCTTAATTTCTAGGAGCAGTTTGTGTTCAACTACATATTTACTCAGGGCATATTAACTATAGAGAGCAGATCTGGAGCTACCCCAGAGTTACTGATGGGAAGAAAAAGCAGCAAAAGCAGCTTTAAGCTACCTAGAACTAAAGCCACAAGGGGAATTAAACACCCTGCTGCCTACTGTAATTCACAACATCCATTTCCACCACTTCAGCTACCCTGAACTGTTCCGGGATAGTTAGGTGCTTAAGAAACTGGAAACACCTAAGCTATTCAGTAGGAAATCATTTACTCCCCTTTAAAAGCTGGGGAGGTATCATGCCTCTTAAGACAGTGACAGTAATACTAGTGTGCTGTTTGCACCCAGTAACCCTGTGGGTAATGCAAATAATAGGAATATGGGTGATCCAGTCAAATCCCTTCTCTGTCCAAAAGGACTTGAGCACCTATCTCATACAAGTGTGTTCTAGCCACCTGGCTACTAAGTATTCCAGGATAAGGTGGTCTCAACTTCCTGTTGGAGCTGTTCCATTGTTCATGCAACACTTAAATATTTTGTTTGGGACAGAAAGAAGAGGGCACGGGTATGACTGTAATAGCTTACTGTTGGGGACAGGTTGAAATTCCTTCAGGAAGAAGGAATATGGGTCTCCCAGATCTATTAGATAAAATGGTTGGCGCGGGGGGCAATGTGACTGGCACCATCACCACTTCCTCCTCCTGGTGTGTTTTGTGGGTCAATTAGATGTGCTCAGACCATGTCTCATTAGTCCAGCTCTGCAAGAAGGCAGACAAGCAAACACGGGTGTTATC